GCGATCGTGGGTGTCCCTGCCGTCGTCGGAATTTAGTTTCTTCGCTGCCAGTGTCGCGATGTTTGTGACTGGCGATTTTTCCAGATTACAAATGAAGTTTTCTGTTGTTGTTTGCTATGAATTGGTGGCATGGTTGTGGTCGTCTGGTGTTGGGGAGTTGTCTGGAGGTGTGTTCCGACCATGGGCGTGGCCGGAATCTTGATTTCCAGCAATTTTCAGTTGAGAAGGCAGCGAACTTTGAACACGAATTCCGGCCTCTGTAGTTATTGGAATTGGGTGATGTTTGGTGGTATGTGAAGCTTGAAGTGAGGGCTGTCGATCGGTGGGTGGTGGTCGGTTTGTGAGGTAGAAGATGGTGGCTCTGGCGGGACGATTTTCTGTTTGCTGAAGAATGAAAAACAATGAAAACACCTTTTGGAAAAATGTTTTGAGAAATACTTTTACAAAATGACAAAAAGAACGCATTTTCATAAATTTCAAAACAGGCACTCAAAACACAAAACACAAAATGAATTCAAAACTCAAAACACAAAACTGAAACACAAAGAGAACAACCCCTTAGATTTTGTCTCCCCTAAATGTTGTAATATAAATATATAAAGCTACCATCTTCTATTCAAAGATACTGGTGTAAATATTGTTTATGCTTATATGCGATGGTTACTTTCAGTATTGGATTTCTGATGATGTATTCGCAAAAAAAAAATACGGAATCACGATGGTTCAATTGGTCGAAACTCACGTATAGCCTATGTTCGGTCCCCAATTTTTCAAGAATTCATTTTTTCAACTCATTTTCAAATTTCAATTACACATTATCCAATAAAATAATTTTGCACATAAATCAAGGTTTGCACATTTTTTTTAATACAATGGGGTGGGACCCGCCGCCATAGTGAGGGGCCTATGTGAAAAAAAGGGTCATGTACGTAAGGAATAATCCTAATTTTTAACCACACATCTTTCAAAAAATCAGTATTCAAAAATTCTTTTTTCTCTAAAAATAGGACTCAAACAAGCCTTTAATGCTTTTCTTTCTTGCTAAATAATATGAAGGTAGTTTGTCCTTGTTAGATTCCAAAGATTAGTAGTTCCTAATGTTATTGCATTTCTCTCTATTTGTTGCAGCTTCAGTGATCAGCTTTACGAAAATAGACATTTGTCACAAGTCTGAAGAATTGCATGATGAGATTTTAGGGAACTCGTGTTCGATTGTATGACTGTTACAAACTTTATGCAAGAGATTTCGTGATAAAATTTTGTTATTTACTTTTTGTAAATTGGTTTATAACCTTTTGAACTCTAGCAACATCCACTCGAACTCCCTTTATTTGTAGAGTGCATTTTGGATCTGTCAATTATGTTTATTAGTACTTTCATCTTTTGCACAAAGTATAGATGAACATGCAAGAAATTTGACAGTATAATGAACAAAATTCAACTTCTTTTGCTAATACAGTTTAGTACTAATCAATCCTCCCAATAAAATGTCGTCAAACTATAGAAGATCAAATTCCCTGCTGAAGAATGTAGTAACATAAATAACAATGCATCGCTATTTGTAGCTGTTGAAAGTACACAACTGCAACCGTGTCACAAAGTGAAAAGCTAGCATTGATCAAAAGAAATATCCATGCAAATAAAATTTCAGGCATGAAAATTGCTATTTGATTCTCAAAACCTCGTTCAACTTGAATCAGTAAGAAATTCATGAATTACAATGGATAAATCTTCATTGATGACTCGGAATGGTAATATAGAATTCGAGTATACAAAAAACAGTTCCTGCGGACACCAACTTTAGTCTGAAACACGATTTTCTCTAGAAATAGCATCCAAGTGATGAGCCATTTAAGATTTTAGAGGCTCAGCCCGAGGCCTCCACAGTCCGAGCCTATACTTGTGGGCATATTTCAATATCAGCTTCCTCTGCAAATGTAAAATTAGTAAATTAAGAAGCGTCACTGCACAGTTTGGTTAACAAAATCACATGTAATGATAAGCAATATCAGTAATAAGAGAGTAAACAACTACATTACAGTCAATATTTTATCAGGCCGACTTCAGTAAATGTTTGGCAGCCAGAAACATATGACAATTTGTATTCTCGAGATATTCATTAGCATTGTACTCATAATGCACTTATGTATATGCAATGTTTAGAGTCGGAAAAAGTATAAAATTTTATGCCTAGAACGAGTAATCACGTGTCAAATTCCTATTGAGTGTTGTGCATTGCTATAATGGCGTGTTTGGTAAAATGAATTTTACAACATAGATAGTATTAAGAAGAAAGAAAAGTAAAAATCTTTGTCATGCCTAAAATGAGTAATTACATGTCATACTCCTATTGACTGTTTTGCATTGCTATAATGGCGTGTTTGGCAAAATGTATTGTACAACATAGATAGTATTAATAAGAAAGAAAAGTGAAAATCTTTGTCGGTTGTACTTTCTGGTCTAATACTCTCCACCAAATATGCCATAAACGACTACTACAATTACACAATTAAGATCATTTCAACAAAGAACCATTTAAATATCACTTCAAATTTAACTTAAAAAGTAAATGTTTGGAGCCCGTTTGGTTTGTATTTCAATTTTGAGTTCATTTTCAGTTTTTCGTTTTGAGAGTCTGTGTTAAAATTGCTAAATGATTTGTCATTTTGTAAAAAAATTTTGAAAATTAGAAAACACATTTTGTATGAAATTTAGAAAAAATATTTTATGACATTTTCTTGCATGAAATTTGATAATCAGGCAAAAATAGAATTATTTTATGTTAATATATTATCAAATATTATATACATTTTAAAGTAGATGAATTTTATAATATTTTTTCTCGCTACAAAGTAAAATAAAAATAAATAATAAATTAAGTTCAAAATATAAGAAATAAAAAAAAATTAATGACATGGATTGAGAATATTTTCATCTTTGTTCATTTAAATATTATTTTAGAATTTTTATATAAATAATTATTAAGAACTTGAACTATTTTTATTTTTCAAAAAAATTTATTATTTTTTAGAATTTTTTTTCCAATTTTTTTTTTTTAAATTTTATCAATCTTTTTGAATTTATTTTTCTTGAATTTTAATTTGTTAAAAAATTATTTGTTGACTTATATATTTTTATTTCTAATATTTTTAATTTTTAAAATTTTATTTAAAGGCTTGTTTTCTATATTTTGAGTGCTTTCAGACTGAAAGCGCTTAAAATGTTTCAAATGTGTTTTGATTTTATATTATAACTTTATTCTTATTTTCGAAAATGCGTTTTCAAAATATATGAGACTAAACACGTTTCATAATTTTGCAAAACTGAAAACTACTTGAATATAGAAAATCAAACGTACCCTTAATATTTGAAACAACCATTGTTCACATAAGCTCGTTTCGATCCGACCCCACCTTGAAATGGATTTACGGGTCGAGATGGACTATGAGCAATTGGGTATTGAAAAATAAACAACCATTCAACAGTAGATTTTTTTTAATTAATATTCACCAAAGCTCGTAACATCCGACTCAAAGAGAAATTATTTTAATTATTTTTTCAAGTAAATTACTTCGAAAACATAATTTAATATATAAAAATTTCATCTTAAGCTTCCAAATAAAATAGCTAAGTAAGATATTAAAGTATATAGATGTCCCGAGTTCAAATATGTTGCCAAGTACACTGCAGAAATTTGTATATTTTAGGTTTATAATGAGAAAATGAATTTTTTATTTTTTGTGCACGGCATCTCACGAAATCCATACCACTGCATGTGAATCTTCATTTAGATTTTGAGATCCATATTGGTAAAGTTAATTTTGTTAAGAGAAGTAGCACAATTATTTATCTCATTTTCATTTGACATGAAATTTATTTCTTAAAATGTTCCTACAAAATGGTAGCTCGTTTTGAGCCAGCTTATTTTTTTTTATTTTTTATTATTTTTTTTTTTAAAATTTTTTTTTTATTTTATTTTTTTTTATTTTTATAATTTATTAATTTTTTTTTTTTTTTTTTTTGCGATTTTTTTTTGAATTTTAAATTTTTTATTTTAAAATTTTATTTGTTAGATTTTATATTTTATTTTTCAAAATTTAATTTAATTTAATTTTTATTTAAACGCTTGTTTTTCCATGTTTTGAGTGTTTTCAGAATTTTCATTAAAAACACTCAAAACGATAAAAATGTATTTTGAGTTTTATGTTATAAATTTATCATTGTTTTCAAAAATGGAATTCAGAAATTGCAAACCAAACACGTTTCCAGTGTTTTATAAAATTGAAAAACAGTTTGAAAACAGCAAACCAAACGCACTCTTAACTTTTGGTTGTTATTCAATGACACGAATATTCCAATATAAATGTTAAAGGAAGCAACTAAACATTTTTGCTCACTTCAAACTTAGTATAATACAATCTTTCAATCAAAAGATTTAGCAATCAGCGTAAAATCATAATCAGGCAACAAAATGTCAAAATGCTATCGATCCACCCATCAACAACAAAGCAAAATTTCAAGAAAGCCATGAAACTCATTATATCATTTCTACACTACCATAAATGAATTCAAATCTAAATACAAACATAACTACATATAAATAACTTTAACATTGAAACAAATACAAGAATACAAGAATTTTGAACATGCTGAAGCAGTGTCTAAAATTAACAGAAGATTCACACAAGCTTGTGATAGAGCCAAAATTTTCGCGCAACACAATGCCAATATGGATGAACAAATACTCACACATACATAGCTCAATAGTAAACTTTCCATACATGAAATTCAAAAAGATTAGAACCTCTCCCTAAAACCAATATAAATGTATTACAAGCTATGAGTGCTATTCGAACAAATCCAGAAAGAAATAGGAGTGGGTTTTGTAAGTTTTATTTTTTCCATATTGCAAAATTATACTTACTTCTTGGCATTTGAGGCCGAGTCTTTTGAGCTTCAAGGTGCGGGCCACGAGAAGTTTCTGAAAGTCACCAAACTCCGACTCGAGCTTTTCCGTGTGCTGCTCCACTCCTTTCCCAATTCCATTCAAGAATTCTGGTATTCCAACCTTCACTGCACCAACAAGAATCACAATATTCAGCCACTATAATCATTCACCAAAAAACTAAGGCAAAAACGTAAACCCTGATATCGATATGCATACGTATACAGAAACTGAATATAAAAAATATCATTCACCATAAAATATCGCAAACCCATATACATACATGACATTAAGAAAGAACATCAGAGAATTTTAATAGAAATTACCAATGTAGGGATTGGATTTGGATGAAAAGCTTGCAAACCCAGCCACGGAATTTGAAGGGCTTGAGAGTAATCTTTTGTTGAATGATAGGATTTGCCGTAGTGCCATCTTATGCCTCGTTGAATCAAGGAATTCCAATAGATTTACGAAAAAGGAGTTTAGGTTTGGGATGGTTTGAGGGGTTTTTTCTAAGAGCGTAAACACTGGGGCCGATTTTGTGCAAATCAAGCTTAAAGCGACGTCGTCTGTGGGTGTTTCATAATTTTTTCCCCTTCTTCATAATAATACTAAAAAGAAATCTATTTTACATATAAAGAAGAAGACTAACAAAAGTTTTTAATGTACCAATAAACTAATAAAATGCGTCTTTAACACCTTAAACAGTCGAGTTTATCCTAAATTACGAGAGCCGGATCTGAACTTTGCTCGTAACAATGATATCATTTTGTCCGAATCTGATTTTATTAAATTCAACCGTCAATCAAATGTCCAAAATTAGACTTGAAATCGATTTGGCCTTGAGGAGGAGATGAGAAGCCAATGTAAATCAACTCTTTTAGGGTTTTACAAATACATTGGCTCAAAGGGTGTGTATTTTAAGAAAATTTTGTTTGACAACGCTCAATTCAGCATCGAGTCACTTACTTTCATTCTTTGTTACACTGATTATTTCAATTTTCACATTTGTGTGGTCGATTATGGATTATAATTGTTGTTAAAAACAATATGTATGAATTGATTTATATTTGAATGTGTAGAGTCTAATCATATTTGATCATACTAATTTTTCTACTCTATAAAGATTTTTAGGGTTCGAGGAGTGAGAAAACCTCATACTCATCTTCACCTGCAATATTACTCGACTTAAGATCACAATGAACTATTAATGTTTGAGAACGAGTATGCATAAGCAATATCAATGGCAAATGCTTTGCCTCCGAAGAAAGTTCAACTTCTTCAATTTTGCATGTTTTTGTTTAAAATCAATTGTTTCAAGTGGCCTCTCGAAGGCACTCGGGATTTCGCCAGTGAGTTCGGTTTTCCAAATTTCGAGGTCTTCCAAAGTCAGTTTAATGCGATATCCCATCCAGGCTTAATTTCAAAGCACAGTCGAAAGATTTCTCAATGCACCTCCAAAATTGTAATCATTCACAGACAAGATTTTTAAGTGTTCGTTTGATTGCAAGTGTGGAAAATGGAAGGAAAGAAAATGAATTCCAGATAAAGTAATTGCCCAGAAATTGTTTTGTAAGAAATTGTTAATTAAGTGTGTTTGATTGGTACAATTTCTCATCCTAAAAATTTTAAAATTGTATTCGTTTGACTTTGTTTTACATGAAAATTGTCCATTAAAATGATAATTTTTTCCACAATTAGTTATAAAATTTGTTTCCATTGCCAAAAAGTTAAAAAAAAAATGAAATTTTTTTCCTAAAAAATCATTTTTTAATCAAAATTTAGTGTTTGTTTGGCTTTATTTTACATGAAAATTGTCAATTAAAGTGAATTTTTTTTTTTTACAATTAGTTATGAAATTTGTTTCAATTGCCAACAAAAAATAAAAAATAATAAAAGAGAAGGCAGTCAACTAAAAAATCAATTCCCACAAAATTGGTGAGAATTGATTTTCCCCAAAATAAGGGAAAACAAGGAGCGTGGGTGCAAATCAAGAAAACCAATTCTCATCCAAATTTTACACATCAAACAAGTCATTTTGTGGAAAATGGAACTTAAATTCCAAGTTTCATGGAATTTAAAGCCCATCAAACAGGGCATAAGTTATATTAAAAATCTGAACAAAATTTAACATGTGAGATGCACGTGATAATTTAACATAATTTTTAGACAAGCCATGAATTAGGACCAAAATGCTATAAAAATTAAAGTTTGAAGACTATAACTTCGAATTATCAAAATTGAAATGGAAATCTTTAGCAGTCAACGAAATTCTAGTGTTGAACCTCAAGAAATGTTAGACAAAGCTACTCGATGTTCCATTTGTTTGAAAATCCCAAGTGAAATGTATGATTCATATATTAAGCCCTTGTTTGGTGCACATTTTGGGGCTAAAAATGCATTTTTTTTTGTTGATGTGATGAAAAATATTATTTTATTGAAAAATGTGTGATTGAAAATGAGTAGAATAATGTGAATGAAAAAAATAATGTAGCTCAAACAGGGGCTAAGGATGCCACATAGATAACCTCAATTCTTGTCTATTATATCGTCCGATACGTCAATGAGTTGATGAAGCAGCCTAATTACAAAAATTTAACCTAAAATTTACAATCGGCATGGTATAAAGTATAAAAAAGATAATTATATGCGAAAAGAAAGAAATGTATAATTCAAAGACTCCAAAAATTATGCTTTTACATGAAATCAACTCGATATTTCCTTGAAAATCGAACACAAGAAACAATATTCCTCATCACTATTTTCTTCACATGAATCGAAGATCAAATAGAGCTTAAACATTCAAACTGAAGAAGGGAATTCTCTCAAGATGAAAAGGCTAATCCTAAATTTCACAGAGCCGACAGGCTAATTCAAACATTTTGCTGGTAATTTAATATTAAAAGGACAGCGAAAGATAACAACATTACACTTGAAATAATTCCACAAAAAATTAAGCCCACATACCAGATAAAAAAACTCGGATAGTTGGCAAAGAGAGACGAATACCATAGTTTTAAAACTCGAAAACAAGTGGAGAGATAAACAAATGGCGCACACCTGAAAACTTATGATCCAAAGTCGAAGCCACCAGGAGGAACACTTGGCTGACTATTTCCAAAGTTGAAACCCTGGTGATTCCCGTCTACGCCATCTGCAACATTTTGCTCCTCGTCTTCCTCGGCCCAGTATTTTTCTAATATCTTCACGGCCTTTTCATATATTTCATTGTTGTCATGAGTCTGGAGAGTCTCTATTTTGTCCAATCCTTCACAATCATCGACCATTTGTGCATATATATTGATTCCGCCATTCAAGCCATTTTCTTTGTCTGTCTCACCCACCTTCAAGATGTTTTCAAGCCCCTCTAGGCACACAGTAACAATCCTCAGGTCTGGACAGCTTAAGAGATCGCATAATGGCTTAATGCAACCTTGGTTTGCCAAGAACCTGTGAGGGTAAACAATGTCTGAAATCAATTTTAAACAAAATCCATTTTTTCACTGAATATGGGTGCACTATGATCATAAGCCCCTGTTTGACAACCATTATTTGAGAATTTTTTTTTCTACTTGCTTAATTATTAACCACACGTTCACACAATAAAATATGCTGCACGTAAACCCAAAACTTTTCTCTACTTTTTTAACAACAAATTCTCCTAAAAATCACTATTCAAAACATTGTTTTTCCCAAATAATAATTGTCAAACAGGGGCTAAATTCGTAACTAGGGAAAATGCAGAATCTGTATCATTTTTTGAGGGGCTTTAGCAATTGATAGCTGATTTGTTTATATATTTGGAGAAGCAAACAGAAGAATCAATCATTTCATTTTTTTTCCTAGGGTGAAAATTTTAGGCTAGGAAAGGTGGGGGATTTGAGGAACTGGATCAGTATACGGAGGCAGTGATGATGATATTGGTAGAAGTGTGTAGTGTTGGTAATAGCGTCAGCTGCATGTGACGCTGGTGATATGTGGCAGTAAATTACCATGATAGTGGGGGTCTTGAAGAGGCTGACAGAAGGATAGAGTGGCTTGGGGAACACGTGACAATAAAAAGAGAGAGACCTTTCTAGGCAAAAAAGTACAAGGATCAGTATGAACAATTAGAAATGAAAANAAAAAAAAAAAAAAAAACAGGAGAGAAAAATTCCAGTCACCAACACCCTAGCACCAAAGACGGATGCCTAAGTCTAAAGGAATACACGTAGAAAGCACAGTGCACAAACAAACAATGCAGAAATAACAAGGGAAGAATTAACACCAACATCAAACCCTTTACATGATGTGTTACTGTGTGTGCGCTGTCAGATGATTTCACATAGGATCCTAAGAAATAGCAGAATCGTTCCGAGCTACCAGTAGTCATAAAGCAGAACCAAAAAATTAGAAGAAAATGATGGAAGCAAGCTTAGCAAAGAGCTATAGATACTGAAAAGTATATAAATATGAGCCACTACAATTGAATGGAACAAGATGATGGAGACAATACTATACCTAATCTGCTCATGAGATCCACCAGAGGTGGCATTCGAGATAGCCCATGCAGCCTCTTTCTTGATGTCAAATTCGGCATGTTGAAGAACGTGCACCAAAGGAAGAATGATATTGGCCTGAATAACAGCCTGTTCCAAAGAAATTCAACAAATGAATACAGTCATGCAGGTCACAAATACATTAATCTCAAAGATCTCTCAATGATTTCAAGCAATAGATCCCATGACAACCGATTCTAATGTTATTGATGATGCTTTCTATGCACGTGCATTCTGTTAACAGATGGCAATATTGAGCTCTACATGAAAAAAAAATAGACGGTGAAGGAAGCCACGTACCTGTATTTGAGCTCTATTTCCAGCAGTGATGTTAGATATCGTCCAACAAGCTTCTTTTTTTATGCTTTTCTTATGATTTTGCGTAAGAAGTTGGTAGAGACAGGGAAGAACTTGGTTGTCAATCACAAACTGATACAAAAGAAACAAGTAACTTCTCATCATATAGAAATAAAACTAATAACAATTATGATGATGCGCTTTTCTATGAAATAATTCACTCCAAACATAGTAATTAACACTTTCGGCTATGAGCAATCATCTAACATTTCTTCAATGGAAAATTAATTAGATTATAAGAATCACAACTTGAATTTAAATCAATGGTTCCTAGACAATTGTAATGACATGTACAAGAACTGTGACATTTGTACATGACTGTTGGTTGCTTAGAATGAGAACTCCAGAAACAGTGACTCCATATGTAAGTTTCTCTAAGCTTGACCCCAAAAAAAAATGCCTCTCTCAAATAGATCAAAGGAAAAGTCTCTATGTAAAACTTCATTAATGATCAGGAAAAAATATTCCTTTTAACACTTTTTCAACAGCTGCCTATCCCCTAGATTATAACATTAATACATAAAATTACATCCTAAG